TGATTTGGTACTTATTATATGTATTTTTTTCATCCCCACTATATCTGAACATCTCAAAGGACCTATCAGGTTTGTGGAAAAGCTAAGAGCGAACAAAAATACTCGCGGCATACAGGTTTCCCATCATTTGACTACTCGCGAGTAATAGAAGTTGTGCCTACCTTCCATTTCGATAATTTTTATCTAATTTTTGGGTGTCACCCCCAGACATTATACCGGAAGTGTTTGGAATGCTTAAATCATTAGAGAGTCTTTTCTAGTATTATTTTACTTTAATGGATTGCGGCAGTCTGCATAGGAATTTAACTTAAAACCACGAAGTAATTTCGTAGCTTGTCCTCAAATTCGTTCAAGCGCATTATTATCCTTTTGGATTGGTGAAGAAAGCACTATATTTCCGCACTCTAAATGCGACCGAAGGAGCCTGCCACAGATTTAGTCGAAAATCTTGTGATCAAACTGGCAAAAGACGGGCTGCAACGTTGCAAATCCAAGGTTTTCTCGAAAGGTATTTTTGTCGCGGACTCCGTACATGCCCAACTTCGAGACCAACAGGCAAAATTCCGTGAGGATAGATCGTGTACAGACGAAATCGCAACTCTACGGATCATTGTGGAACAATCAATTGAGTGGAATTCATCACTCTACATCAACTTCATTGACTACGAGAAAGCATTTGACAGCGTGGACAGAACAACACTATGGAAGCTTCTTTGATACTACGGAGTGCCTCAGAAGATAGTCAATATCATACGGAATTCATATGATGGACTAAACTGCAGAATCGTGCATGGAAGAGAGTTGACAAACTCATCCGAAGTAAAGACCGGTGTCAGGCAAGGTTGCTTACTCTCACCCTTTCTCTTTCTCCTGGTGATCGACTGGATCATGAAGACGTCAACATCTGAAGGGAAACACGGGATACAACGGACATCTAAGATGCAGTTGGACGATCTAGGCTCCTCAGATGATCTGGCTCTTCTATCGCACATGCAACAACAAATGCAGGAGAAGACGACCAGTGTAGCAGCAGCCTCAGAAGCAGTAGGTCTCAACATACACAAAGGGAAAAGCGAGATTCTCCGATACAACACAACATGCAACAACCGAGTCACACCTGACGGAAAAGATTTGGAAAATGTAAAAACCTTTACATATTTGGGCAGCATCATCGGTGAACAGGGTGGATCTGATGCAGATGTAAAGGCGTGGATCGGCAAAGCAAGAGCAGCATATTTAAAACTTAGAAACATCTGGAACTCAAAGCAACTGCCAACCAACACCAAGGTCAGGATTTTCAATACAAATGTCAAGACAGTTCTACTGTATGGGGCAGAAACCTGGAGAATTACAAAAGCCATCATCCAGAAAATACAGGTGTTTATTAACAATTGTCTACGCAAAATACTTCAGATCCATTGGTCGGACACTATCAGCAACAACGTACTGTGGGAGAGAACAAACCAGATCCGAGTGGAGGAAGAAATCAGGAAGAAGCGCTGGAAGTGGATAGGACACACATTGAGGAAAACACCCAACTGCGTCACAAGACAAGTCCTCACATGGAATCCTCAAGGTCAAAGGAAAAGAGGAAGACCAAAGAACACATTACGCCGAGAAATGGAGATAGACATGAGTAAAATGAACAAGAATTGGATGGAACTAGAAAAGAAGGCCCAGGACAGAATGCTGGTCGGCGGCCTATGCTCCATTAGGAGTAACAGGCGTAAGCAAGTAAGTAAGTAAATGATCTCCCAAGTATAGTTGAGTCCCCAATGTTATTATACGCTGATGATGTAAAATTCTGGAGAGAAATAACGAGAGACGCATATGCAAGCGCACTTCAGGCTGACTTAGATATTGTGATTAGCTAGTCTAAAGAGTGGCGGATGCCTATCAATGTGGCAATCTGTGTCTACATGCACCTTGGTGATACAAGGTAATTAGGTACAGCATAGGGGAAGTGCCTGTACCCGTGGTCTGGTCTCACAAGAAGCATGGGGTGACGGTGAGTCGTAATCTTAAGACCATGGCTTACTGCCAGGAGGTTGCAGCTAAGAGGTTTAGAACCCTATGAGCTTTAAGATGGACATTCACCAAGTTAGTTACTACCACGTTCACTACAGTATATACAACCTTAGTGAGAACTAAGCTTGAGAACTGCGTCCAGGCTGTAAGCCCCTATTTTAAAGGTGACTCGGATATCCTGGGAAAAGTACAGAAGGCAGCTACCCATGCAACTCTAGAACTCCGAGGTTTACCATACAAAGAGCGGATAGAAAGGCTATTTGCTCTGTCCTACCTTAGATTAAGAGGTGTTCTGATTTTAATGTGTAGAAAACCAGGAAATGATTTGGTACTTATTATATGTATTTTTTTCATCCCCACTATATCTGAACATCTCAAAGGACCTATCAGGTTTGTGGAAAAGCTAAGAGCGAACAAAAATACTCGCGGCATACAGGTTTCCCATCATTTGACTACTCGCGAGTAATAGAAGTTGTGCCTACCTTCCATTTCGATAATTTTTATCTAATTTTTGGGTGTCACCCCCAGACATTATACCGGAAGTGTTTGGAATGCTTAAATCATTAGAGAGTCTTTTCTAGTATTATTTTACTTTAATGGATTGCGGCAGTCTGCATAGGAATTTAACTTAAAACCACGAAGTAATTTCGTAGCTTGTCCTCAAATTCGTTCAAGCGCATTATTATCCTTTTGGATTGGTGAAGAAAGCACTATATTTCCGCACTCTAAATGCGACCGAAGGAGCCTGCCACAGATTTAGTCGAAAATCTTGTGATCAAACTGGCAAAAGACGGGCTGCAACGTTGCAAATCCAAGGTTTTCTCGAAAGGTATTTTTGTCGCGGACTCCGTACATGCCCAACTTCGAGACCAACAGGCAAAATTCCGTGAGGATAGATCGTGTACAGACGAAATCGCAACTCTACGGATCATTGTGGAACAATCAATTGAGTGGAATTCATCACTCTACATCAACTTCATTGACTACGAGAAAGCATTTGACAGCGTGGACAGAACAACACTATGGAAGCTTCTTTGATACTACGGAGTGCCTCAGAAGATAGTCAATATCATACGGAATTCATATGATGGACTAAACTGCAGAATCGTGCATGGAAGAGAGTTGACAAACTCATCCGAAGTAAAGACCGGTGTCAGGCAAGGTTGCTTACTCTCACCCTTTCTCTTTCTCCTGGTGATCGACTGGATCATGAAGACGTCAACATCTGAAGGGAAACACGGGATACAACGGACATCTAAGATGCAGTTGGACGATCTAGGCTCCTCAGATGATCTGGCTCTTCTATCGCACATGCAACAACAAATGCAGGAGAAGACGACCAGTGTAGCAGCAGCCTCAGAAGCAGTAGGTCTCAACATACACAAAGGGAAAAGCGAGATTCTCCGATACAACACAACATGCAACAACCGAGTCACACCTGACGGAAAAGATTTGGAAAATGTAAAAACCTTTACATATTTGGGCAGCATCATCGGTGAACAGGGTGGATCTGATGCAGATGTAAAGGCGTGGATCGGCAAAGCAAGAGCAGCATATTTAAAACTTAGAAACATCTGGAACTCAAAGCAACTGCCAACCAACACCAAGGTCAGGATTTTCAATACAAATGTCAAGACAGTTCTACTGTATGGGGCAGAAACCTGGAGAATTACAAAAGCCATCATCCAGAAAATACAGGTGTTTATTAACAATTGTCTACGCAAAATACTTCAGATCCATTGGTCGGACACTATCAGCAACAACGTACTGTGGGAGAGAACAAACCAGATCCGAGTGGAGGAAGAAATCAGGAAGAAGCGCTGGAAGTGGATAGGACACACATTGAGGAAAACACCCAACTGCGTCACAAGACAAGTCCTCACATGGAATCCTCAAGGTCAAAGGAAAAGAGGAAGACCAAAGAACACATTACGCCGAGAAATGGAGATAGACATGAGGAAAATGAACAAGAATTGGATGGAACTAGAAAAGAAGGCCCAGGACAGAATGCTGGTCGGCGGCCTATGCTCCATTAGGAGTAACAGGCGTAAGCAAGTAAGTAAGTAAATGATCTCCCAAGTATAGTTGAGTCCCCAATGTTATTATACGCTGATGATGTAAAATTCTGGAGAGAAATAACGAGAGACGCATATGCAAGCGCACTTCAGGCTGACTTAGATATTGTGATTAGCTAGTCTAAAGAGTGGCGGATGCCTATCAATGTGGCAATCTGTGTCTACATGCACCTTGGTGATACAAGGTAATTAGGTACAGCATAGGGGAAGTGCCTGTACCCGTGGTCTGGTCTCACAAGAAGCATGGGGTGACGGTGAGTCGTAATCTTAAGACCATGGCTTACTGCCAGGAGGTTGCAGCTAAGAGGTTTAGAACCCTATGAGCTTTAAGATGGACATTCACCAAGTTAGTTACTACCACGTTCACTACAGTATATACAACCTTAGTGAGAACTAAGCTTGAGAACTGCGTCCAGGCTGTAAGCCCCTATTTTAAAGGTGACTCGGATATCCTGGGAAAAGTACAGAAGGCAGCTACCCATGCAACTCTAGAACTCCGAGGTTTACCATACAAAGAGCGGATAGAAAGGCTATTTGCTCTGTCCTACCTTAGATTAAGAGGTGTTCTGATTTTAATGTGTAGAAAACCAGGAAATGATTTGGTACTTATTATATGTATTTTTTTCATCCCCACTATATCTGAACATCTCAAAGGACCTATCAGGTTTGTGGAAAAGCTAAGAGCGAACAAAAATACTCGCGGCATACAGGTTTCCACACCGAGACATTAATTCTTGGAACTTGTTACCCGAAGCAGTGGTGTCCAAAATTTCAGTTGACTCATCTGATAGAAGAATAGACACTCAGAGAAGCGTACTAGAAAAGGGATAACATAGGCTGTATGCATTCTGACCTTACTACCTAAGTTTGAAATCTGAGTTTGTTTAATAGATGAAGGTTAGAACCGCGTCGTGTGACCTTCTGCGTCACTACATGGTCACTCAAGGTAAACATGGTTTTGATGCCAAGTACCACCTTATGATCCGTGTTTCTTAGTAAACAGGCTAACTTTTGTGACGTTTTTTTTTGAAAATTTTCCGCTTTCTGAGCCCATTTCTTACTTATCAGCTCACACAAAACTATCCAGTTTATTAAATTCATTCACACCCTTACTTTGCTATACTGATGTGTCTTCAAATTAACTTCCATCCAAACTCATCCATGCGAGTAATTCAAAACTGCTTTTCAATTATGATTTTTAAGTGTCACAAGTTGTAAACATGTTTACAACTGCGGCTGCAGCTAGCGGCAACCAAAGGAAATAAAATGAATTCATATTATGCTTCCTAAATATTCATTCTCGCTTGATTCAAGATGATAAAGGAAATTATGTGTATGAAGCTGCTTATTGTGAGCACATCAACTTTTTCACTTTGATGTGTAATATGGAGGCCGACTAGACATACGTTGGAAAACTATTTTTGTCATTGCGGTCGTAACTGGATTCCACCATTTCTTAACAAATTGCATGATAAACCATGGATTTACTGGTGAATTTCTTTTTTGGGATTTCTGTTTACCATAATCGTGCATGCAACGTACAACGCTGCGGCATACTTGTAAAATTTGATTAAGTTTCTGTACATAAATTTCTTTCAACACATGTATTGTATTTCTAAACCCTGCAGATTGCGTAAAAAGTTGACTTCCTTGAGGGAGTAAGGCCTGGTTGTGGATAGTTTTGTGTGAACTGATTAGTAGGTGATGTGTGCTGAAAGTAGATTACTTGGTGTGAATCCCCGAACGGTGTTCCTCCAGAGGGAGATTTTTGGGAATTTCCTCTATTTTGCCCTAGCACCTAACAAGGCAAGCAATCTGAGACTTCGCTTTTATCTTCCTTCATTGTTTTTGGATGTGCAAAATGGCGATGATAGGATCACAATTACTTCTTTAGATCCTTGAAACCAACTTTGCAAAAGACAAGCGTTATTCTTTCGAATTTGCTCGGGTTAGTTTCGTGATTCTAAGTTTTCTTTGTTAACTGTGAAAAGGATAAATAGTCATGAAAAAGATATTTCAACGTGTTGGTTCATAGGACACACATTACCAGATTCTCTATAACTGACTCAAGGAAAGTTAGTTGGCGGCTACATTTAATGATTATAATGTTTAAAAAATATGATTTGCCCCCCATGATAAGAATTTTTTAACTCTATCACGTAGCCTTTTGTTAATACCACATTATTTTCCAAGTTATCCTTAATATCGCGACCGTTGCTGCTATCTTGACGTAGTGATCAGGTTCGTCTATCGGGATGAACCAATCGAGCTATACCGACTGAAACAATAGTTCGTCAAGGTCTTACCATTCCAGACAGGTCGGCTGAAGAACAGTAAGACTAAAAGCAGTAAACCCAGGATCCGAAGGCGATGTCGTACTGTTGATTGCACGGAGGTGTGACGGCAGTAAGGTGTTTCAGACAACCAGTATAACAGCGATGATACCTTCCCACAAGGAGGGGTGTGTTTAGAAAAGGTCAACCTTAAAAATGCACACCTCGCCTTATCTCACGGATATCCGTCTCCGGCGGTAAGGTTTCAACAAGTACGGAGCTAACACGAAAATTGTTCACAAAAGGGTCGTGTGTGACCGACCTCAAGCAGTTGTCTCTTGGACATTGCGGTCACGCTCTCAGGTCGCTAAGGCCACTCCTAACCCAATTTCATTTCCAGGTACCTACCTCTAGAAGGGCTTTTTCACGATGTGGACAACCAAAAAGTGAAAACCGCCCTCATACCACTAACAGCACTCAAGACCACTGTATTCATAATCAATTTTCCTCTTCAATTCCTGTTATTCCCCCTACCTTGACTATCAACTCTAAACTTCCTCTCTTGACTTCCTCCTCAAGCGTCACCATCGTCAACGATTCCACTGCACGAAATGCTGTCCCAGGTCTACTAAAACCTTGCTTCAAACTACACATTGGAGCTTTCAATGTACGCACCCTATGCCAAATCGGCCAACGGGCCTCCTTGGCTAAAACCTTAAGATCTCGCACCATTGATGTATGCTATGGCCCTGAAACACGCATACAGGATCGTAGTGTGGTCATTCATTTGACCTCACCTCGCCAAAACGTAGAGCCGACAAGATACACTCTTCTTGTATCTGGCGACCCGATGGCAGGTTCTCGTGGACTGGCAGGTGTAGGCATAGCATTAAACACGAGGGCAGAACAATCGCTAATAAAATGAGTCGCCTATTTACTGTCCGACTAAACGGCTCCGTAAGAACTCGGATGGATAAGGACACACGTTGATTTTTCGTCGTTTCTGCCTACGATCTCACTGACTGAAGCCTGGATGAAATGAAAAGTGAATTTCGCAGAAAGCTTTCTGAACTTCAGAAAGCTAAACGCTCAGACATAGTACTCGTAGCAGGTGACTTTAATGCCCAGGTGGGTAGCTTAAACCAAACAGAAAGACATTTAGGTGGGTAGTTTAGTATTCCAGCTCAGTGAACAAATAATCGTGATCATCTGCTGCAACTGTGCTCAGACAACCGTTTATTTTTAGCTAGCACCAATCTCAAGCATAAGGAGAGACATCGTCTAACATGGCAACCCCTTGCACCAAACCAACGATGGACTCAAATAGACCATATTGCCACCAGTGATCGTTGGAGAGGCTTGGTAGAAGACTCGCTCGTTCTGGAATACCTGTCTGAACTTCGAGCACACATTTGCTTGCGCCTCGCTGGACGCATAAAAACCACATTAGGAAGACCCATTAGAGTTGAAGTCAGCGACGAGTAAGCCAAAAGTGGATTTCAGGAGCAACTGAGGTCACACTTAGAAAGTTCTGAAAACGAGGCTGTCTCAGATGTTGCTTGGAAAGATATACGGACAGTGATTTGAACCAAATAATTACGAAAAACCAATAGATTCCTACAAAGTCTATTGCGCTGATAGATTATCGTAAACTTATCCCATCAGGTTCTGAATACAATGAAGAGCGAAAACAAATCAGATCTAGGTTTACCAAAGGTCTAAGGAACGACCGTAAGCAGTGGTGGGTAACGAAAGCAAGAGAGTTGGAAAAGACGGCGACTGTATGTAACACCATACAGCTTTTCAGACTAATAAAAGAAACTGGAATTAATAAGTCAAGTGTAAGTGAGACGATCTTGAAAAAAGACAACACTTACCCGCTCTCAGTCCAGACGTTTAGAATGATGGAAGGAACACTTTAAGGAGCAGTTCGGTTGACCTTCAGCTACTCTACAACCACCCATCATTCCCAAACAGCCTGAATGGAACATTAAAGTAGGTCCCCCGACTCTAGCAGACGTTCAAAACGTTATAGCTAATCTGAAATGAGGAAGAGCAGCTGGTCCGTATTCTGGGTTTGCTACTTTTAGTCTTACTGTTGTTCAACAGATCTGCCTGGCATGGTAAAACCTTGAGGAACGATTGTCCCAGCCAGTATAACTCGATTGGTTCATCCCGATAGGCAAACCTGATCACTACGTCAAGGTAGCAGCAACGGTTGGGGAATTCTCGTTTGGCTTTTGTCTACTTACGTCATCTATGGCGAAAGCGATATATCCGTCTATCAATTAATAGACAAGTATACTGCACAGCAGTTCGTTCCGTTCTGTTTTACGGCTGCGAAACGTGGCTATTAAAAGTATATGTTCGTAAGTTACTAGTATTTGACCACAGATGTCTTAGAAATATTGCTCGTATCTGCTGGGGTCACTGGTCAGTAATAGTGAGGTTATATCCAGGATATCAGGGAATGATGGTTAATAAGTTGGTGAGGTTGTGAATCTATATCGACTGAGATGGTTGGGTAACGTGTTACGTATTCCTGAACAGCGATTACCACGGCACGCAATACCAACTAGTTTTGGAGACGGATGGAAGAAAGTTAAGGGCGAACAAACGGAGAGGTGGCATCAGTCCTTGAAGTCACTAACCTCTGGCGTGAGCCATGTTGGTAGATGCAGAATACTTGGTTGGGGTCCGCGTGACTATCATAACCAATGGTTGGAGACTCCAGGTGACATGGCTGAGAATCGATCACAGTGGCGTAGGTGTATACGCTCTTTGTCTTCCATTAAACTGTGAGATTAAAATTACTTTATATCTTTCTTTTCACGAACTAATTCTTTTTTCTTGTACTATATCCTTATACACAATCTTTCTTTTATATATTACTACCATTGAAGTAACTACCTTTATGAATTTGGTGATCATGTTGTTGTGCTTATGAGGTGTGGCAACTTGAACCGATGCATATATGTGTCTAGTCCTACGTTGTGGCTGACTTACTGACTGAGTGTAGCTTAAAACGCTTGTAATGCCTAATATGTATAATTGTGTAGCATCATTTTAGTTGCAGTGGTATTACATTTCTGTTAAATCTGTCACCACAAGCTACCAGACAGCTTACTCTGCTGTTCCCCAGCAGCTCTCTACTCAGTGTTATATAACACCATCATTGGGACAAATTAGTTGGTAAATTCGATATAATTTACGTGATTCATGTTGTCTAATGTCAAGGTTGGAATTAAGGTTATCTAATACGTTTATTCAAACACTTTGATTTTTTTAGTTTTATGAATTCTGGTCATAGCAGACTTCAACTAGAAGTTCTTCGTTTGTATCGAAATTTTCTACGAACTGTTGATTTGTTGCAGTTCAAGTCCAAGTTAGAAAATGGTACTAGCAATGTAAATAACGGTTCTAACTTTGATCAACTCAAAGAGTTTATCCGTTCTGAGTTTCGATCTCAAGCAAGTGCCTACAAAAAGACTGATATTTTTGGTGTAGAGGCAGCACTGCGTCGTGGTCAGAGACGCCTTGAAGATATTAAGTCCGGAACTGTCGTAGGCATTAGAAAAATATCCCTCCGAAAGGAACAATGACAAACGGTAGACTGGCCGGAAAACTCAAACGTTTTGTCGATACTCTTAACACAGATCGAACAAACTATGTAGCTTCTTTTGCTTATGGATCTGTCGTTTTTCCACAGAAGGACAGAACATCAAGTAATTCACTTATTGATATAATTATAATTGTTCGTAATCCTGTGGAATGGCATCTGAAAAATATTTCTGAAAATCCTAATCACTACAATTTTTTATTTCGGAATTATGCCAAAAAGTACCAGTCATCAAGCCTAGAGGTGTTTCTTTCTCGTATTCCCGGTCCCAAAGTCTATTACAATCCGTTTATTGAATGGAGTGATCCACTTGATAATACCAAACTGTCGTTTAAATATGGTGTAGTTTCATTGGATAATCTACTCACCGATTTGTGTGATTGGTCACATCTCTACTTAGCTGGACGCCTACAAAAGCCTGTATTATGGATTCCTAGTGGGTCTGATCTCTCTTCACCCCAAGTTTATGATGAAAAATTGTGTGTATCACAAAACAAAAATCTACTTGCGTCCATATCTTACTCAATTTTACAAAATTATCCGACAAATTTCCCATTGAGTGAATATGACTTATTCTACACAATTTCTTCAATATCTTACACTGGAGATTGGCGAATGATTATCGGTGAAGATCGACAGAAAGTAAGGCGCTTAGTGTCTGGTGAAAGCCGATTATCTGAATTTCGCACGCTTTATAATAATACATTGGATTCTCTCCAACTATACGGTTTTTCTCTTAAACCATCTTCAAAATCTAATCTCTGTAAAAATGAGTTGCATTGGTTTAAGCCATGTAACAATGAATCTGAAAATGTTTTTCAACTTCTGAAAAATATTCCCGATCACATATGCTTACTTTCTGTTCAAGAGACTTGGAATCATAATCCTAATGATGCTCGAACATTTTTATCAAATTTATCGCATACAGATAGAAATAAACGGTTACAAAATACTTTATCTAATATAGTCAGAAAGTCTAGTCTATATCAAACTGGTTTAGGTTTAGTTTCCGCTGGACCTAAACGATCTTTAAGATATGCATTAGCAAAACTTAATAAAATGTTTGCTAGTTTAGGATTAATTAAATGGAGCTAGTTGTCATTATACTGTTCAATCTTATTTACTTCATATCACGATGTTAAATATTTTTTAGTACTGTTTCCCCCTTGTGTGTGATTTTTTTGAATGACATTTTGTTTACTATGACTGCGTTTCTTAATAATTTCTGTTATCTTCTAACAGTTTAGTTATTTGAGTTATTTTCGAAATTTTCATGCTCTTATGAACATTAATGTACCAGAAAAATAAAACGATAAGTCTGATTTTTTTTAAATATTTTATCAGTTTCTGTTAAAATTTTATAACTTACAAAGATGGGTCGTAGTGAACGAACGTTCAGGTGAGGACAACCAATCTATTGTTGAATACAAAATTACAGGGTGCTTTTGCAAAATGTGAAAACCATACATTAAATACTTCATTAGAAAACCTTCCATCAATTGCCCTTCATCATTCTTCCAATTCTCAATACCTTTATATTCCCCTTCCTGTTTTCTTTAGTCCATTCTTCTCAACTTTCTTTTGACAGGCATTCCACTTTTGATCGCTGTTACATACTACTTATGTCTATCGACGTAAATAGCATACATCACAGGGTCAGTTCATACATTACACTTTCAGTGGAGAAAATACCTAAAACTGTGTGTCAAGAGTGATAATTGGAAAAAAATAATGGAAATAAAACTATAAGATGTACTCTAGTTACCACATAGTGAAGAGGGAACTTATCTTCATTATTGGTGAACTCTCCAAATATCGATTTCTAACATAAAACATCCGACCAGAAGTCCTTACATGATTCCCACCAATATAAGTGATGATATGGACAAGTGCCATGTCTTGAACATATTAAAATTCCCAGTTTCTGTTAAGCCACCTATTATTACACACAGTTACTGATGAACTGTTCTATTAATAAATATAAACGAAAATTATTTTCCTATGCATTTTTATGGAAATTGGTTGTTATTATCTTTACATACAATTAGTCAGTCAAGATAAAGTTCTTAGCAAAGAAGAACACAGTTATCAGTTCAAACTAAAGATGAAAATTAGTAATTAAATGTAAGGGAAATACGAGATATGATTTCAGGATTATGATTTGAATAACTCTTTTAGCTAGGATTTTCGAATGTTCAGGTGAATAAACTAGGTCAGTTGACATCGAAAGAATAGTAATCGAAATAATTATGAATAACGTAGGATAAGAAGAACAATGGTGTAAGTAACAATCAGATTAGATAATCAATCACAGATTACACAATGATATGAATTGGGTAAAAGGTCATAAGATCGATTAAGTGGTAAATAAATCAGTCCATTCAAGAAACTAGCCATAAACTACATTTTGATTGAAATCCATGGGTTCTTCCTTTATCTATGATCAATATTTACCATTAATTGTTTGAAAATTCCCCATCGTATCTGAAACAGATATATGAACGAATAACGTTCTTTTTGTTAGTATGGTGTTGTGAGGATTGTTGAATTCCTATAAAATCATGAACTAATCTAACTTCAGCTTAGGTCCTACAGTACTACATAGCAGGATATGAATTTAAGATTGTTGGTAAGGCAAAATGAAATCATTAATATTGAAATGATTAATGTAGAATGTTAGCTTGAATACGTTTGTAAGCTAGTTGGATATGGGGGATTAATAATCGGAATAAATATTTAAACAATCTCCGAAACCTCATGCTGTCAATTACATATGCTCATTAGTGACCTTCGAGGCGAAATTTCCTCATTTCTAGCAAGAAGCCGTAACCAATGAAGCCAAACTGTGTCGGATGTGACGCAGTTACTCAACGAAGATAGTGGAAGGTGGTCGCGTAATTCCTCCGGTTGATTGGAGCTAGACCATGGAATCCCATCTCATTGGTCTAGAGGTTAAGCGTTCGAGCGCGAAACCGTAGGTTGTGGATGCAAACTTATGAGTAGTCCCTTAATGGGACAAGACAGAAATTCAGTTCTCCCAGTTCTGTTCTAACTTAAGTCGGTTCACGATTTCAATGAAATGCTTTAATGGCCCGAGATCTGACTTCATGTGGATCATTTCTGATTGCTATCAAATAGCTGCTGTCGAAACATCCATCCTAACTATTCTCGTATGTAATTATCGACTTAAATCGCGCTAATGAATAACGAAATTCAATAAGTCAAATACGAGAATTAATTTCGAATACATATATTTCATGTAATCGTCGATCCAGACAATAGAGCGAAGAGGAATGACGTGCAGTGGAGGCGTATGAGCCAACTCAATATTTATAGCCAGATAAAAATAAGTCAGAGACATGTGGTGAATAGGATAAGAAGTGTATACACATACACTCATATAAAATCAGCCAGGATTGATAAACTATTAATTAACAAGGTCAAAACGTGACTCGAGAAAAATGGATTAACTGGCCTGTCCAGAAGCTAGAATAACTTAAATGAGATTCAGGTAGTAACCGACACTACAAAGTAGAGAAAATAGAGTGGTAGGAATTATAACGTAATTAAAAATGAAATCAACTGTCTGGTCGAAGATTACACAGTGTATAGAATGACATTAAACTGGGCAAGAAATAATATAGTAGAGTTTTAGTTTAATTTGTCATCTGTTTACAAGATTCACAATGATAGTAATACTAAGGTACGTGAATAATGATAATAATATTTAATTCGTACAAAATTTATGAAAGCAACAAGGGAAGGCTGTGTATACATTAAGATGGTTATTAAATTATTGGCCCTTAAGATAAAAGAAGCGGTTGGACACATTTCTTCTAGAAACAAAGCTGTGAAATTTTATCCCAGTAGCTACCGTCCCTATCTTTTGTAGAAGAACGGAACTAAGAAAGTTTGTATGTTGGCCTGTCCAGGTACTTTCCTGGTTCAGTTTACTTTGCAATGATCTTATCTGCTCTCTTCGCACGTGCAATATCTAAGCAGGATATTATATTTCCATTTTAATCCTCACATATGAACTTAGTTAAATATTCTGAGTCTCCAAATGGTCAACACTACAGACTCGTTTCTGTCGAGTTATGAACACCTAGAACTGATTTAGATAAAGCACGCGATTTATGTACTTTGAGTAAAAGACTTTATAAGCTTTATTGTTCCGTATAAATTTGATAAAAGTATTTTTTGACTAGTGAGCTTCTTCAAAGATATGGTAAGATCGTTCTCCATTTTATCAGGTTAGTTAATTTACAAAATTTTAATTTTTCACTTAGGATATTATTCATTTTATTAATATAATCTGTTATATCCTAACGAAGAATAAATGAATGGTAAGCGTTAGGAATTTCTTATGGACTGATATTATACGTATATTCTTATTATATGTATATGCATATTCTTTTCATTATAAGCTTTTATTTGACCTATTGGTTATTGTTATATGATTCACTATTCTCGAGTTATTCCCAATCTATTAGTGACAGTTTCTCACAATCACATCCATTTTTGTCTTGACCCCTTACAAATGTTATTTTTTGTCTTACGGTGTGATGTGGTCTGATTTGTTTGTATATAAACCCAGTATGTTTGAAATATATGATTCGTATCGCGAAGGCTGAGATTGGAGTTCTGGACGTAACAGGCAGGGCTAGACGGGAAAACGACCGATCGGGACTCTAGGCTCCCCGTACTGGTGTATGAATCATTAGTTTAATCGTATAAGTCAGCGTATCTAAATTGGCAATCGTATTTCGCGATGACCGTATAAACTACGGACATAACAATCATTTTTTGTTAAGAGAAACCATTTCTGATCCTTTATCCGGTTATCAGAAATTACAGCAACAGTTAGGAATCAACTAATGTGCAGATTCAGAAAAATGCTTTAATTATGTATAAAGATTACATTGTATGGAAGAAAAATGGACAATAATTCTTAAACTTTCAAAATATGCTAACTAGTGACTGGCTTCAAGGGGTATATCCTGGAGTTCTAGTGAGAAGCAGTGATCAGTGGAGTTCAACCGGGTCAGTTGTTAGATAGTAACTCACTGATGACAATGGTGGATATGCCACTCAATTTCGTGGATTAGTTGAAGTTAGACACTAGCACCGTTAGATGTCGGTTGGCTCAGTGGTCTAGTGGTTAAGCGCTCTCGCGCGAGAACAATAGGTCCTGGGTTCGAATCCCGCCAAGCGGGGTCGTGGATGCGCACTGCTGAGGAGTCCCGCAATGGGACGAAACGGCCATCCAGTGCTTCTGTGATTCTAATTGTGGTCTAGCTTCAATTGACTCATGATCTCAACTATTGAAATTACTGAAATCTACACAAACCCCCTTCTGATACTTCTATTCATGAAAAGAAACACCAAGTGGGAATTAATATCAGAATGATAACATGACCAAGAAATAAAAACAATTTAAGTATTTATTTTAGATTTAAAATGAAAAATTGAGAATACCTTGATACACTATTAATTTATAAGGTAGAATAATAAAACTGATACATTTCAATATATATGTAACAAATCGACTTAAACTACTTAGAATACCATATGATTAGGCTTTTTTTTTTAAATCCACGATTTTTGTTCTCTTTTTTTTGTTATGCTTCAATTTTTAATTGTTTAACTCTTATCGTTTACGTCTAAGTCATAGGGTAAATTTACAGGAAGAAATTCGGAATAGTAAATGTGAATGGGATATGTATATCAGATGAATAATTATCCAACTCAATTTCCAAGCTTCATTTCAAATTGAATAAATTAAGGTACAAAATATTTTCTTTAATGTCATAAATCTATCATCAATGTTACAGTTCTCAACATTTAACTTTATATTTTACTTGTATAATAAATGTAAACGTTTGAATTTATGGCCTATCTAATATTGATTGAGGATAGATTTACTACTCAATTAGATAAAGTAGTCATTTTATCTAACTCAGAATAAATTGATAAATTAATCAGATTGATAAAAAGGTTTTATGAAGTGAAAATACAAAATGAAGAATATTTGAGCGAACAATTGTTTTCAATAACTTCATCACCAGGCTCTACAGTTATAAGTCCATAATTATAATATTTTACAAAGGCCAAAAATAAGGCATGTATTAATGAATTTGACGATGTTGTGTTAAAAAATGGTGCACATTCGCATCTGTTACGATATATATGTATATACTTCAAAATTGTATTATTCGCAAATTAGAAAGGTCATTCAATAAAGGTCAGGATGATTTGGAGTAAAATGTTCAGTAATAATAAGTATAATAGTATTATAGCAAAATTGAAAATGCAAAAAAATTTGTGACTGAAAAGGAATAGTAAGAGAATTTAATCTTGTCAATTGAGATAATAATAATAAGATTATTGTGTGAATATATGTAATAAGGAGGGTGTTATCAAGGTAATTACGGTAAACGAATTGGGAATGATGGATGTGAAGATTAAGATAGAGATAATCAAAAATAATGATAATAAGGGAAAAGAAATTAAATAAATAAAAATAAAGAAAGGAGGTAAGAGGTTTATAATGTTCAGTCTCGGTATTCGGTGATCCAGTCGTAGGCCAAGGTAAACGAAGAGGCTGGATATGTCTTTTCTGGATAAATAAATTTGGTCTTCTGGAGTTGATCCAGATGGCTTCTTTCGCGAAACTGGATTCCTATAACGATCATTAGAAAATAACAGTCTCTTACCCCAAGCATAATGATGTTCTTTGACCCTATGGTACATCATCTTTCTGGTGCTCAACTATTATAAGTAATCAGTAGCAAAGTGTGAATCTAAGTACATTGGTATTTGGGACTTTGCAACAGGATGTATGCGTTGTTAAGAGGAATAGTGTTTCAAGTGGATTTCAAATTCATGTTTTTGAATGGAAATATACAATTAAATACATTTTCAGCAAAAACATTTAACACGTTTAGCACATATTTATTGTGTGGCTAATGAAAGTAAATGTGGATGGGCATTGTGCTCGAACTGACAGACTCAGCTTATCGGCTAT